AACCACATATATTCACATAAATGGCACACAAAATTGTATCAAACACATAATCATACTCATGATAAAGACCAATTAGCATAATACAGAACATGGTTATCACAGGAAGGGAGGTACTTCTGTTGAAAGGCATGAGTAAACGCCTCCCAAGTATGCTCAATTCGACCTTTGGCATATTTTCACCATTGGCCGACATCCCCCTTCAATTGATAACTAGCAAGCGCCACCTGAAGTTCACCATATCAAATATATAAAATCTCAAAAGATTTAGTAATTTGCTCAAGCCATTCATCCGCCTTTAATGGTTCAGCACCCCCAAGAAACTTGGCAAGATTCGAGTGGAAAAATTCTTTTTTTAGGAATAAAACTCTAGTCTCCCCTTCAATTGTTCTAGCGGCTTGTTCAGCTCTAAGAATATCCATTGATTCCCTAAGGGCCTCGGCCATTTCTCGATCCAACACTCTCATAGCGTCTTGGGCCGATGGAGCGGCCACATTATTTTGACCCACTCATTTTTCTTGAGAAGGGATCTCTAGTTGAGCCAGAATATTCCTACCACCTCGACAAGGCCTGCCATGATCCCTAACGCATCCAGACATCCTATATATAAGAGTAGATGTGGACAAGATTAGCTCACAATTCATATACTAGTCATTAACATACAGTCTTCACATAAACACAAAATAATTCCACCCAATTAATTCTCTTTCTCATTAAACGGCAAATTTGGTTTACAAAACAATTACACAATAATTATCCCTGTTCAATGAGCTAAAAAAAATTTACAAAACAATTACATTGATCCCCTACTAGTATTAATTGCATTGGAACCTATACAAAACAAACTTTACAAGTCTTAAGCCAAAATAAACAAAAGGGTTCCATGATTTCACTACAGTTCTCAATTCACAAAAGATAATTAAATAAAAGGTCTTTTTCTTCTCCTTCTTCATTGGCAATTTTGGGTTTCTTTGTTCCTTGAAAAGTTAGTAAGTAGGGATGAGCACTTTTGCCCAGTAGAGAATAACTTTAACCATGTATATAAACATTTGATGTAAATGTGCATAAATCAATTCTAAAAGCCAAGGATTCATTTATATTCCTAACTTTGTTTTACAAATATTGATCATCATCAACTTCCATACTTTCTCCATCCTCACATGGATGCCATGTAGATGCCTCATACCTTCCTACTTTCGTCGTCCTCACACGAACCAGCCAGTGGAAGCCTCACACATCCCCACATTCGTCGCCCTCACGCGGACCAAGTAATGGGCACCTGAAAGACAACCCCACATTCGTCGTTCTCACACGACCGGACAATTGGGCATCTCAAACACATTCTATAGCATTTAATTTCTCATCCAATGTCAACAATTTCAAGGATTTCCAAGTTTTTACTTATTAACATCCACTTTATCATAATCACGAACAAACTCCTAGGGTTCACGAGAAATTTTTGGGTGCAGATAGGGTAGGAGCCATGTGGCGCTTTTCTCTTCTCTCATTGGTTCAGAGAGTGGGGCTACATTTATGTGTTGGGTGATAGGGAGACAACATGGAAGGTTATGGCGTTTGTGATTGGTTGAAAGCACCATATGACATGCCACATGGTACCCTCCTAGCACCTAATAATTTTTCAGGGTTCACATAAGGATTTGGGACTTTTTCTTCCAATTGTTCATTTCCCTTGGCTCAAGTATATCCACACATTATAATTTAATTATTATAATATTTGAAGAAAAGAATTATCCCAATATACAAATAAATAAATAAACAAGACATAATGTGCTTAATTATGTGCATTGCATGTATCAAATTAATTTTTTCTTTTATATATTTTATTTTTTGTCTATCTTATTGATGTATTAATATTAATTTATATTTAAGTTTTTATTTAACATGAAATTATTTATTACAAAATATTTATATTTAATTTAAATTTTATATACCTATATACAATATATATGGAATATTAAAAGAAAAAATTAGGAATTTTTATTGATAAGTCCAAATTAGAAGTGTTTTGACCCAAGAAGTCCATGAAGGATTTTTTTAACCCATTTAGTCTCATGTATGTATAGTTTTTATTCCATAAAGTCCATTTTCTTGATTTACACTATTTTCTTGGACACTTATGCCCTTATATTAATTTTGATACCCTTATAAATATTTTTTGAACGATTAGCAATTTAATGATGTGAACATTCATATTTTAAAATTCACATTGGTAGGAATGTAAAATTGGCCCGTGGGCGGCCCGAAACCCGGCGCGAGCCGGGGCGGACCCGGCCCGTTGACAATGTGAATATTCATATTGACATATTAACATTCACATTAATAGAAGTGTAAAATTGACCCCCGTCCGTGGCGGCGCGAAACCCACCCGCGACCCATGGCCGGCCTGGGCGGTCCCGGTCCGGCCCGTCGACAATGTGAATATTCACATTGACATGTTAACATTCACATTGATAAGAGCATAAAATTGGGCCGCGGCCCACGGGGGCCAAAAGCCCGCCCGAGGCCCGGGGCGGGCCCGGTCCGGCCCGTTGACAATGTGAATGTTAACATATCACATTGATAGGAGTATAAAATTAGCCCGGCCTCGTGGCTGCCCAAAACCCGCCCACGACCCGTGGGCGGGCCCGGCCCGGCCTGTTGACAATGTGAATGTTCACATTGACATGTTAACATTCACATTGTAAGAGTATAAAACTGGACAGTGCCCAGGGCGAGCCCGACCCGGCCCGGCTCGTTGACAATGTGAATATTCACATTGACACGTTAACATTCACATTAATAGGAGTGTAAAATTGGCCCCCGTCCCGTGACGGCGCGAAACTCGCCGGCGGCCCATGGGCGGCCCGGGGCGGGCCCGGTTCGGCCCATTGACAATGTGAATATTCACATGACATGTTAACATTCACATTGATAAGAGTATAAAATGTGGCGCGCGGCCATGGGCGGCCAAAAGCCCACCGCGGCCCGGAACGGGCCCGGCCTGGCCCGTTGACAATGTGATATATCACATTGACATGTTAACATTCACATTGATAGGAGTGTAAAATTAGCCCACACCTCATGGCTGCCCGAAACCCGCCCACGGGCCGTGGCCGGGCCCGGCTCTGCCTGTTGACAATGTGAGTGTTCACATTGACATGTTAACATTCACATTGATAAGAGTATAAATCTGGACAAGTCTAGGGCGGGCCGACCGGCTCGGCCCATTGACAATGTGAATATTTACATTGCATGTTAACATTCACATTAATGGAGTGTAAAATTGCCCCCGTCCCGTGGTGGCGCGAAACCCGCCCGCGGCCATGGGCGGCCGGGGGCGGGCCCAGTCCGGCCCGTTGACAATGTGAATATTCACATTGACATGTTAACATTCACATTGATAAGAGTATAAAATTGGCCCGCGGCCCATGGACGGCCAAAACCTCGCCCCTGCCCGGAGCGGGCCCGGCCCGGCCTGTTGACAATGTGAATGTTCACATTGACAGTTAACATTCACATTGATAAGAGTGTAAAATTGGCCGCAGCCCGTGGGCGGCCCGAAGCCGCGACCGCAGCCCGAGGCGGGCTTGGCCCGACTCATGCAATGTGAATATTTCATATTGACATGTTAACATGCACATTGATAGGAGTGTAAAATTAGCCCGCGCCCCGTGGCTGCCCGAAACCCGCGCCCACGCCCGTGGGTGGCCCGGGGCGGGCCCGGCCTAGCCTGTTGACAATGTGAATATTCACATTGACATGTTAACATTCACATTGATAAGTGTGTACAATTGGCCGTGACCCGTGTGCAGCCCGAAGCCTGACCTCAGGCCGGGGCGGGCCCGACTCGTTGGCAATGTGAATATTCACATTGACAGGTTAACATTCACATTGATAGGAGTGTAAAATTGGCCCGCAGCCCGTGGGCGGCTCGAAGCCTGATCGCAACCCGAGGCGCTTGGCCCGACCCGTGACAATGTGAATATTCACATTGACATGTAACATTAACATTGATAGGAGTGTAAAATTTGTCCTGCCCGAAGCTCGCTCGCGGCCCGGAGTAAGCCCGGACCCAAACCTGGGCCGCCCGTGGGACCGCGAGTCAATTTACACTCCTATCAATGTGAATGTTAACATGTCAATGTGAATATTCACATTGTCAACAGGCCGGGCACGGGGCCCGCCTTCGGGCCCTACGGGCCGTGCGGGCGTATTACGGGGCTAGTTTCGGGCAGCCACGGGGCGCGGGCTAATTTTATACTTTTATCAATGTGAATGTTAACTTGTCAATGTAAATATTCATATTATCAACAGGCCGAGCCGGGCCTATTTTTTTGGCCTGTGGGCCGGCCCGGCCTGACTCGAATTTTTCCCGGTACCCACGAGGATCGACATGGACCGGGCCCCTACACATTGACGATATGAACATTTACGTTGACGGTGTGAACATTCACATTAAGGGTATTTTGGTAATTATGTCACCCATAGGACTTATTGAAATATAAGAAAATAATGTGAACTAAATGGAACATAAGTAGATGAAAAGGGTATTTTGGTCTTCTTATCTCAAATTGGACCTAATGGAATAGTAAAAAAGAATATGGGTTGGATGGAATAAAGCTCTTAGAAAATAGATTTATCAAAAAAGCTCCCCAAAAAATTAATACTCTACATAATTAATTTATATATTTTCTTCTTAATCCAATCACAACATATTTAGGTCAAGTTTGGCATCTACTAAATAATACAAAAAGTTAAAAAGTCACTATTCTATTTAAGTCACATCATCTTATTTAAATCATATCACCTCTCTAACACATCACATCAAACTCAACTCATATAAGCTAATGAATCAAAAAGTACATTTTTTTAAAACATCACAAACCAACCTAAATTAGGACCCTTGGGAGAAAAGTTTATTTTTAGATTGTCTTTGACCAAAAGTCCAGACGGTAAAATACATTGTCTAAATGAACAAATTTGGATAAAAAGACCAAAATACCCCCTCTATATATAGGACATACATACACAGTGCAAAAAAAAATCAAAATCCCTCTCTCTCTCTCTCTCTCTCATCTGAGACCCAAACATCGGTTTCGTCTTCCTCTTCCCTCTATCTCTCTCTCACTTGAGCTATGGTTTGTCGATCGGTGGTGGTTCTCTCTCACCGACCTCGCTGCCATCGTTTCTATTCTCTCTCCTCTCCGATAGCACCGCCACGATAGTTGTTCGCCCACCACCATCTCCTGCTCTCACCGACGTCACCGCCGACTGACCACCACTCATCCGTTACCTCTCTCTCTTCTAAACACCCCCCGCAACATCTATTGCCATCGCCATCGTCAACATCCATATGCTCGCTCTTCATCACTCTACTTCTATTTTTCCTCCTCGTGACGTTTTTCAGTGGAATCGTCGTCGGTAGTGGCGAGAATAGCAATCACCGTTGACTCTCCGTCACCGTAGTCTCCATGATATCCACAAAATCTATATTGTTTCGATTTGAGAAATGATTCGATTTCAACGAAGTAGACGTTCAAATCTACGACCGCCTCTACCACATCGCCTTCGCAAAGTCCAGATTTACAACTGCCGCAGTTCCAGTGTTTCTTGCGACTCTTCAAGGGATCACGATCTCAGCTCAATCGTTCACAACACCATAGACAGGTACGTTGCATTGAATCGATCTTGATTTTTTCAATTTGTTTGAGTTCGGTTTTGATCTTATTATGCTTTTGGATTTTTTAGGGGAATTTTTAGCACAACAATGATGGAGATGATTGGAGGGTAGATTAGTGGGTTGAAGTTACCTCTTTCTTGGGAGCCAAGAGCTTTAGTATCGATCTTGGTCACCGTAGAGAGAGAGAGAGAGAGAGAGAGAGAGTCAAAAAATGGATTCTGGAGTTTTCTTTTTGTTGAACAGATCTAGTTTGTGTGTGTGTGTGTGTGTGTGTTCAACAGCTTCAACCGTGTCCATACTGAAGATCCTCGTCATCCCCAAACCCGATCTGTGTTAGATCTATTTGTTTGTTTTTTTAATTATTTTTTTCGATTTGAAATCAGATCTGTTCAATTTTTTGAACAGGTAGTAGGTGTGAATTTGAACAGACAGGGCCGGTCCTGAGATTTAGAGGGTTTAAGGCGACACTTCAGAATTTTATATTGAAAAAAAATTTTTTTATAGAAAAAACGTTAAGTTACAATTTTTTTATTTGTTTGTAACTATAAAAAAAATTTACTTGCATATATAATTATTAAAATTATAAATAAAAAATTTTCATATATTAAGATAGGAAGCAATCATTACAAATGCTTAAAAAAATAAAAATTTAGTCTTGTATTTTTTTAGGCCTCATGTTCAATTGGGTCTATAATATTTAGGTCTTTATATATATATATATATATATCTAAAACACAAAATTATATTTGGGGACCCCTATTTTTAGCCCAAATTTGGGGGCCCAAGGCGCAGGCCTCTCTTGCTTACCCTCAGGGCCGGCCCTAACTAACAGAGGGAGGTTTTCCGGAGAGGAAAGATCGACTAGAGTTGTTGAATTTTAACAGATAGATAGTAGAAAGAGAGAGGTTTTTAACAGATAGATTTGTTGTTGTTAGATTTTTAACAAATAGATATTATTTTGTTGTTGTTGTTTGATTTTCAACAAATAGATTTGTTATTGTTGTTGAATAGATAATAAAATTGTGATAGATGGATTTAAATAGATAAATGAAATAAATTGAATAGATAACAAAATTTGGACATATATTTGAATAGATAAAGGGAAAAATTGAACAGATAAATGAAAAAATTGAACATATAATAAAATTTGGATAGATATTTGAACAGATAATGGAAAAAAATTGAACAAATAATCAAAAATCTTTAATAGATAAATATAAATTTGAACAGATAGAGAAAACTTTTGAACAGATAGGTATAAATTTGAATAGATAAAAAATTTCAATAGTTAAAAATAATTTCAACAGATAGAAAGTAATTTAAGTTGTTAGTCAACAAAAGTTAACAGATAAATTAAGGGTAAAATTGGAAACAACATATCCTTTAAATCTAACAGAAGAAATTTTCACCAAATTATTTTACAAGGGTGGATTTCTCACTAATAAAAAATATCTACTGGACCTAATGCCTTAAATACCTCTAAGTTGGATTTATCACCAATTTTCTCTATTCAATATATTTAATCTTTTAAATAAATTTTGTGTAATTTTATTTCTACATATTTTTATTTTTTAAATAAATATAAAAATAAAATAGAATTAAATAATTAGAAGGAAAATTTATCTATAAATTTCATTTTAAGGAATAGCGATCGATTTAGTCACAATTTCTTATGGACCAATTAGTCTCAGTGATTATTTGAAAATTAAATTTATGGTTATACTTTTATTTCGATTATGTTTCCTTGTTTTTCTTTTCTTGTTTCCTTTTTGTGCTAGATATGTAAGATACACAATTTATGATAATCAAATTTGGAATAAATTTTTATATGAGAATCTTTTTTTTTGGAAAACATTTCAAAAGGAATACAAAAACTCCTTAGTAAGTTTTGGATAATTGTATAATTTCAAACTGTAACACTCAAATGTAACACTCCAATGTAATACTTCAAAAAAACTCCTTAGTGTATTTTGTTTTTCAAACGTAACACTCCAATATAATATTTCAAAAAAACTCATTAATATAACACAAAAAAATTCTTAATGTATTTTTTCTAAACGTAATATTCTAAAAAAATGATATGGAATTCTTCAAACCATTCCAAAATGAGTGCAAAAAGTACTTAGTAAGCTTTAGACAAGTGTATAATTTGAAACTGTGAGTGTTACGTTCGAAAAAAATGCATTAAGAAATTTTTGTGTTTTTTTGTGTTATATTGGAGTGTATTGCATTGAGGTGTTACGTTTGAAATTATATTGATTGGAGTGCTATGTTTTGGTAAAGCACACTAAGAAATTTTTTTTGAGTGTTACGTTGGAGTGTTACGTTTGAAAAAAATACATTAAAGATTTTTTTTTTTTTTTGAGTATTACGTTGTTACGTTTGGGAAAAATATATTAAGAATTTTTTTAGTGTGTCACATTAGAGTGTTACGTTATTGGAGTTTTACGTATTTGTTTATAATGTGAGATTTGTTCTAAAATGAGGGAAAATCCCAAACATCTACAGTGTGGATTGCGCAAATGTGTAATTTCATATTTGGAGAAATCAACTTTTATCTTTTAAAAATTAAACCCAAACATGTAAGTTATTATCTTTTTGTGTAATTTCCACTTCAATAGGACGTTTGGGTTCATAACAAAAATTGATGACTAAATAACAATTCATAAGATCACATTTTTGGATTTATTGGTGGTTCACCCTATTTAGAATCACTTTTAGTTTTATATTAATAATTCTCTTTCTAATTTAACTATTATTTTTAATATCGTGTTTATGTTAATATCTTATAATTTAATATATATCATATAAAATTATTATATGATAATTACACTTCCCCGTTTGTTTGGGGTTATAAGAAGGGGATTGGGATTACTAATACATTGGTATTACTAATACCTTGTTTGTTTTGAGAGATGGCCTCGGGACTACTAATACTTTGGTATTACTAATACCCTTGGAAGGGGGATTCATAGTGAGGAGGTAGAGATGGTATTAGAAAAATAGTTAAGGGATTAGAAATTTTTTTATTTTTTATATATTGGGAATTTTTTTTAAAATATTAATGTTTAATTTTTATATTTTTTTATTTGTTTTATTATTTTATATAAAAATAATTTAACAATTTCTCACTATTAATCCCCTCACTATCAATCCCCTCCATTCTATCTCTGAAAACAAACGGGGCCTTATAGCACAATAGAACTAAAATATCAAAATGAACAAACAATTTAACTAAATTTGTTATATATAAGTGTTCAAGTAACACTTTTATAGAATAATAAGGTTTAGATTATTAAAATAAATATTTTAAATTTTATTTTAAATTTAAATTATTCTTTTGTAACACATATCATAATATAAAATATCATTATATTAATTAAAGTTAACACCTTTGTGATTTTATATTAGACATCATATTTCTAAAAGTGATTTACATACACATGTAACGTCTAATTTGATATTGATTGATTAAAATAATAGAACTCAATACTTTTTTTATAAAAAAAAAAAAAGTTTTTGAAAGATGACAAAGGTTGAATGATAAATAGTGTAGAGTATTATTTTAAAGAATAATGATTCATTGAAAATGATTGTATATATTGAAGGCACCTATTGATGTTTCTTGAATAATTTTTAAATAAATTTTTTGAATTTGTAGTATTTTTGATAATGCACCTTCATGAGCTCTATCAGAAAAGATATGTAAAAATAATTTGGTTAGAATAAAAAATTTACAGTTATTATGATGTGTCACATAATTAATCAGAACCCATTTGAGAACTGAAAGTATTATAGTTATAGAGATTTTGTGTCTAATTCCCTATGAGGACAGTGTTTATGATTTGAATTTGTAATTTTTTATGCATCAATGTGAATAACTTTTACGATCTTGCTGATATGAATATAAATCTTACTTTTGAGTTTACCCACCTTAAGCACTTTTTTGTGACCATCTAAAAAAAAAAAAAAAAAGCACTTTTTTGTATAATAAAGTATTTAAATATTGTCATATAAAGTATTGTAATAGACCATAATCAAACATCACTTGAAGCATAAGTAAAGACTCAATGTACCAATTTAGACATAACAAAAATATAAGAAACTAGTAAAAACCTTTTCGATTAATAATCAAAATAATACACCATGAGTTACAACCAAGTCATAATTTGTATATTATAAAATTTTTTGTTATTTTTATTTTTATTTTTATTTTTTAAGAAAAAAATATTTTGATACAAGTGAAATTCATAATTTTTGGTAAATTTTATTAACACAAATGAGGATTTGATTTCAAGTTGAGAATATACCATTTTTTTTTTTACTTTAAAAGAAATTGTTTTTATGAGCCTTTTACATAGGATCATACACACAGTGAGAAAAATTTTCATAAGTTATTAACAAATTTGTTTGTATTGGACCTTCACTTGTTAAAATTTTCTACAAAAAGTATTAAGACTCAGAAACAATTTTTTATTTTAAAAATAAATTCACATGTATCACACAGGTCACATACTAGTTTATATTATATAACTAGCTAAAAAATTTATCCATGTAAAAAATTGAATTGATCCAACATCAATTGTCATTATTAGATCATTTTTATCTATACAACCTACATGTTCTTAAAAATATATCACCTAGTTGCTATAACATATATGTGATTTGATCATGTAATTATTTGTTTGATCAACCTAATTTTTTGCATGCATGTTCTTCTCATCTTATCATATGAGATGAACAGTTCTTATCATATGAGATGAACAGTTCAAATTATTGACATGAGTACAAATTAGTCTCATAATACGCCAACTTTATTTGTGAAGTTAAGATATTCAACATTAGCAAATCTGAATTATGAGAATCAACCTCTCCCCTTAAAACTTGTACACTCTGTTTGGCAATATTGCCACCGGGTAGTATGTAAATTAATTGGAAACATGCTCCTACGTTGTATTCATTTTTTGTATTCAGATAAAAAATGAACGACAAAATGGCATATCTTTAGATGTCCCTTTTTAAGTTAAAATAATCACAATTCCACACAGATGGTTGAACATGTGTTCATTGACATTGAAATAAGTTCTTCCATCATCAGCAACAGTGGTGGTGGATAAGGATTCAAATCCTTTATATTTTATAGTGATGTAAAATGTTTCCCTTTTATTTTTGTGATGGGAAATGTCATACAAACTAACAAACATTTTGTCATGCAACAATCAAACTTTGGAAATGAAAACAAAACTTGCTTCAATGATATGATAGGTGTCACATTAGTAAGCAAAACAAGTCAGTAAGATTTATCAAATCATAAACGGCTAATACTATCATCCGATCTGGATCCATCAAGTCGATCAAGGTCTAAAGTTGTTCTGGTTCTTATGGTTGTAGCAAAAACTCAAATCCTACCTTTTTACCATGGAACAAGTTTGAAAACAGAGAGACAAGGGTATCAGTATAGCAAAGGACAGAAAAAAAGAACTATTACTAAATATCCAACAACCATATAGAAGACAGAATGAAAAAATTTACTTCTGAAGGACCCTTAGCTTAACCCTAAAGCTTTAGAGGTAACCTTAGATGGATTTCGGCATCGTGTCTTTGTCAGTGCTGCCCTTTCCGGTTCCTATTCGAAGGGTAAAAAATTGTTGTAAGTCATAGAAATACACAAATGTATATTAAAAAGATAAAAGTAGGGTGACAAAAAGATATACACAGTTACTGATTTTTAGGTATTACATGTGCACTTACCACAGAAGATGTGGTAGGCCACCAGGGGAATGGTTATCCCATACATAGCAGCTCCAAATGCCATCATCCACAGCATGCTTTCATAATGTGTCAGAAAGTTTTGTGCCCCGGACAGTGAGTCTTCAACATCAATGAGACGACTACTGAATTGTGAATCCATGTGATGTTGTGGACTGCTGTCTGGATCTACAATTGTGACTGCAGCTTGAATCCTCACCCGATCTCCAACAAAGTAATTCTCAGCTCTGAACTGCATGATATCAGTGTACAACTTGCTCTGCCTGCTCCTGAGCTCTTGGAGTGGTCGGCTCAATCTCCTTATCTTGTTAAATGCCACAGTTATGGCAATACCAAATCCAATAACAAACGATACCACTGACATGAGTGAGACGCTGATGCCAACGGTACAAGCCAACTTTCCTTGGAGAAGCACACTCCTGCTAATAAATCCCAACATCAGTTGTGCACTGATTCCAAGCGAGCCAATGGCATCCTCGGCCCTCTTTTCAAGATCAACTTCCTCTAAGTGCATTTGATTTCTCATCATCTCAAACGCTTCAATAGTATGTCTTTGTTCTGGTCTTACCCTTTTTGCGGGGGAACTGACATTATCGGCACAGGAAACAAAATACAGTTACCATTGTGTCTTCCACATGTAATATTCACAATAAGGATTAGGTATTATCTTACCCTATCCAATATGAAATATTATTCACTTTATCCTACCTTATGTCGTGTTTGTTTCAATGTAATAAGGATTAGGTAATATCTGGTCCTCTATTGATATAAATATATTATTCGCTTTATCCTACATTATGTCTTGTTTGTTTCAATGTGAGATAAAGATTAAATATTATCCAACCCTATGTATATGTCTAATCACGCCAACTCTCATTTGGTTTTGGGAGCTTCTAATTACATCTCTTAAATTTTTCACTACACTCAGCTATTACATTTAACAATATTTCATGAAGAATCTCACTATATGCAAAAATTCGAGGCCCCTAGTGGTCAAAATAGGTTTGACATTACAAAAATATAGAATTGCCTCTTAAATTTTTAATACTTTCAAGATATTAATGTCATAGAGAGAATCCTAGATGATAGATCCATTGGTCAAAAAATAATTATATATTTTTTGAGGTTCTACGGTCACTTGCCACAATTGGGGAGCAAGAGTCCTATTTTGAAGGACTGCTTTAAGGAAGCTGTTGGAATTGTTTACTTGGGTTAGGACTCCTCAAACTATTTAGAAAATAGGGATGATGGCTCTGCTGGAGTTGATCCAAGTACTCTCCAACTACATTTTTACACTAGAACAAAGGTAGACCTTTTCTAATAAAATAAAATTTTTTAACAAACAAACCATTTCAAATAAATAAATTGGAAATTTACATTATTAATTACACAAAATCACCCTCCACGGCCAACAATACACTTAATGACAACAAGAGTTAATTCAATTTTAGGTCCTCAAAGCTTGAGTTATGTGTTTATTTTGGTCCCAAATCTTTTAATTATGTCAATTTAGTACCCAAAATACAAAATGTGTAATTATTTGGTCCCAACCTTGATGCCGTTGAAAAATAGTGAATGAATCAAGGGTATTCTCAGCAAAATATTAAAAGTGCAAGCCAAATTTAAAAAAAAAAAAACATTATTTTAGTATAACTACCAATCAAAACTTGCCACAAATTATTTAAGGTGAGATTTACCCCACCTAACCACCATCCACAAAACATAGCCACCAACCCACCATTAGTAACCTCCACCATCACTATAAACCACCACCTTCCCCCACTATTGATTGTCGCCTCCTCACAAAGCCACCACCTTCCTCATCATTAACAAACACTACCATCAAAATTGCCACCATTACAACCAGAGAACACCTCTAGCAACCACTATCATAGCGCTCCACTAAGAGCACCACCAACAACTACCATTAAGACTGATAGAATGGTAAAGGAATATGAAGGTGAGAGGGAAGTTTAGTAGTGGTAGGTGGAGGTTTTGAAGATGGTGGACGGAAGAGACTGTAAACACAATGGTGAAATAGAGGGGACAAATGGCAAAGATTTCAAAAATGTATTTAGGTCTAGTAATGAAATGTAAAAAAAATACTCCTAATTGCATCACTATTTTTGGATTGTGTCAGGGTTAGGGATCAAATAATAAAATATTTTGTATTGAAGATTAAATTGACACGATTGAAATGTTCAAGATGAGAATGACATAGAATTCATCAGTGGGTAGGCTTCTGATATGGTTATAGTGGGGTATTGGAAAGAAATAGATTGTCCAACCAACGTTTGCCTTCCAAAGACCCTATAATTGGTACATTTTCCCAAATTTTACTCTTTGCTTGTAAACAATTGTGGTCATCGAGAGATTAAAAAAAAAAAAAAAAGACTAAGAAAGAGCCCAATAGTTGGAGGCTTTCTTAAGGCACCTTCAGCCTTCTCAAAATCATACACAACAACAAAAAAAAGAAATTTCTTTACACTGCTAATTTTGTTACTTTTTTATAATTCTATCATTATTTAAAATTACCAAAAAGTACCAAAACCCTAAAAACCAAAAAAGAAACCTTAATTTTCCTTACACCCACTCCTTACCAGCACCTCCATCTGCAAGCACCACCCCTAGCCCTTCCCTAGATCTCCTTCTCCGTCGCCATACTTCTTCTCTTCATCATCCTCTTCTCTTTTCTTCTTTTTCTTCTTCTTCTTCTTCTTCTTCTTCTTCAGAAAAACCTAGGTTTCTCACTCTCTCGCTATGGGAAGTTGCAACTCGGAGAAAAGTGAAGCGGCGTTGGGTCATGATGGAGAGGGCGAGAGGGGCTGGGTTATGGCAGAGAAGGTTAGTTGTTCTCAGTGATGGGAAAATTGGAGGGGGTTGGTTGTGATGGCAACAGTTGCCAATGAGGTGCAAGAGGGTGTTTACAGTTAGGGAAGGAGTCGTTGGTGCGAAAAAGAGTCACCAGTGAAGGAGGAAGTCGCCAGTAAGGGAGGAATGATGGGCATTGGTGGTTAGGAGTGGGATAGAAATAGGTTTGGAAAGAATAAGGGGTGTAATGAGAAGTAAAGTTAGGGATAAGGATATAGAAGGATTTATGAGGTGTGTAAGGAGATAAATAAAAAATTTGAATTTTAGAAGATAATAGAAAATGGGTGTATCGAGGGAATTTTTTGGTGTAACACAGAAGCTCACATACATTGGGGGACCAAAAGTGTAATTAACCCTAACAATAATTACAATAGGTTTTTTTAATTAATTGTAGGGTAAATTACACTTTCACAAAGTATTAATCTTCTCACTTTGGTTGTTAAAGAAAAGATTCTTTCACTTTGATCTCTCAATTATGTGACCACAAAGACCACATAGTACAAGGCAACCTAGAGTCAACCCAAAGTAGATCCATGCCTAGGGGTAATCTAGGGAACGTGAACAAAAATTCTAACATAAAAAAACAAAGAAAAAAAAAATTCATCCCAATAAATTATGTCATATACTTAGTAAACAAAATTTGCAAGCAACTGTATACTTTTCAAAAACCAAATATATGATCCATTCATCACCACCATTCTCTTTTCTTACCTCTACCACCTATCTCCCTTATACCACCCATCCTCTTCCACCTTTATTCCCTCCACCAACCACCACCCATCTTACACCTACCACCAGCCACCACCCCTTAAAACTCCCCTACACCGCCACCTCCCACCAACGTGAACTAACTTCTCACTCCTAACTTATACCATCATATCATCCCCAGCAACTCCCACCACTATGAACCTTACCTTCACTACCAACATTGGCCCTGCACCACCGCCACAGAACATAATCACCTGCAATGTCATCAACACCATACGGAATACCATCAACAACAATTGCCATGAGCACCAAACCCTAGATCGAAAACCACTGAACCCTAGATCAACAACATGTAGCCGTTGAAAAGAAGAGGCCTTTTAAAAAAAATAAAATTAAAAAAAACCCTGCAAAACCAACAATCGTTGTCCTTGATGAAGGTGCAGAGATTTGGAAGGGTGGTAGCAGGTGTAATAGGGAGAGTTGGTGGCAGGTATAGATAGTAATGGCTGAGCCGGGGAGTCACTAGAGATGATGAGAGGTAGTGGCTAGGTGTGGAAAAAGGTTGATGGAAGGGGTGAGGGTGAGGATGGTGGCGAGATGGGTAGAGGGATGGTCACAAGGGGCGATGGTGAGATAGAGGGTTGGGGAAAATGGGTGGAGAGAATACGACATGGGAGGGGGCAACATGTAGTACAAGTGTTTGGGTTTAGATATGGGTCAAGGGTTTGAGTTTGGGTCTGGATTTGGGTTAAGATTTATGTTTGTTAAGATGACACATTTATTTAAAAAATACTAAAATTACCCCTTAGCGCTAAAGGGAATTGATAATTGAACTAAAGTACAAAACAACAAGTAGTTGAAGGATTAAAGTAACAATAATATCTTTTCTTTAAGAACCAAAATAAAAAAAAATTAAAAAAAAAGTCATACTTTAGAGGAATTACCCTTAATTTTTTATCAAACCATTAAATAAGAGGAAATGGGTTAGAAGTCGGCAATTAAAGACCATGTACAAAAAAAAAGGAAATTTACAGGAATATTTTTATTAAAAAAAAAAACCAATAAAGGTAACACAGTTCAATTAAAACAACATTGGTAGGGACAGACACCTCTTAAATATATATGTATAGATTACTCCTCATTAAGATGAGGAGTGGAACCCACATTATCACAAGCTGTTTGTCTTATTTCCCATATGATTGGAGAGTAATTTAACGTGTAATTCAGATGTATTAATATCTTCTTCTTTTTTTTTCCTTAAAACAAACTACAGGTACCCTTTTAGAGTCAATCAAGAGTAAGGACAAAAAATATAGAAAGAATGAAAGGAAATTGTTGATTTCTCTCATATAAAAGTTTAGGGCTAGTTTGGCATGTACTAAATAAGTTAAAAAGTCAAAAAGTCACTATCTTATTTAAGTCACATCATCTTATTTAAATCACATCACCTCTCTAACACATCACATCAAATCCAACCCAAACCCAACCCAAACCCACCAATAAGTCAAAAAGTGCACTTTTTTAAGACATCCCAAACCAACCCAATGTTGTTAATAGTCCCGACTAAATTTCTTTGGAATCCGCACTTTTTTTTTTTTTTAACCTCTACCTTAGTCCCAACTACACAATGTTAAAATAAAATAAAAAAGTCCAATTATTGGTACACATTAATCGACATAGTGCACAAAATATTTGTCACTGAGACTTGAACCAACAATCCATAATCTCAAAATTATTAGATCAAAATTTACCTCATCACCCTTACACAATATTAAAATATTTATAATTTTAATATAATTTTCACACATTCAAAACACTATTACACATTTTCATACATTTTTTAAACATTAATGGCAGTCCAAAAGTAAACAAAAACAATAAACACAAATTCGAAAAGTGTGCGTCTCTTTAATCATTCGCAGCTGAGAAAAATCCAAAATGAAAAGCTAAAATATATCTAGAAAAGATAAA